AGGCCAAGATTAAAGGCCTGGCTGTGGAAAGTCTGTGTCATAAACATGAAATTGATTTAAGGAAAACAAAAGGCTGCCTGTCGTCCAGATACCAACACAAAAACAATCTTGAACAGAAACAGAAGAGTTGAGTCCATGTGTCCATCTCAGTCTGCTCCTCTGATACACAACACCTAAGCCAAAAACTTGTCACACTGAAGTCTGTCAATTCTTGCGTCTTTAATCTGGTTTACTGCTTTTCCCAGACATAACTCTTCTGTGTTCCTCACAGGAAAATTAATCACAACCCGAGGAAGACAGATCTTCATATTTTGGAACGAACATGAATTCACACCGGCCCAACCTGCCCATATTCCTGAATGTTTTTCTTGATAATCTAAATAACAGGAGCAGAATTTGGAGCTGCATAAAAATGACAGCAACTTGTCACTTGAAAAATTACACAGAAGCAGAGTTTTCACGGGGCATAGGGTAAAGATGGAAATTTATCAACATCTGCATAATTTGATTGTACAGTCTGAGCCACGTAGCGCACTGTGCAGCCTCGTTTCAAGAAGTTTTGTAGAAATTAACCTTCTCTATTTCATCCATACAAATCTTTTGCCTCAATGCAAGAATGACATTCAGTTGTAAAAAATAGAAATAAAACTTCTGCAGCTCTATGTTGTTGCTCTTGTGTTGCGTCTAAATAAGATGGGCTGTCAGCGTCTCTGCCTTTTGCTGCACAGAGCTGTGCGCATTCACACTGATGACACTCTGTTCTGTCCACATACAGACGTTGAACTTGATGGGGGAGCAGCTCTTAGCCGTTTCTTTTGGAGTCAGTCTTTGACAGATGTAACACAAATTTCTCGGTGTATATCCAGATTAATTCTCTGAGCAGTCAACAAAGAACAGCTGGTCCACTTAAAAAAATAAACCCTGTTGTGCGTTAAGGCTCAGCTTTTGCAGGGGTAAAGCCACAGACAGCCTCATACTGATTTAACCCCTGATTATTACAACAGTATAATGGTAATTTAAAGACTATAACAAACTCTGAGGTCAAAAGCATGTCAGCAGTTGTTAACAATGCAGCCCAGTTAGCACCACCTCAGTCCTAGCAGTGTGGCTGTTGGCTCTGGTGTTTGTAAATTTGGTATTTTGATTTTCAGTAAAACTAGTTTGTCTGTAGAGGGTGATATTTTTTTTACCAAATATCCACATCATAGACTGTATATAGAATGGACGCTGTCTACCTCCTTGCTGGGTCAATCCACTGCAAGAACAGCACCCTCTGGTGACAGGCTGCAGTATAGGTCATAAATCCCGCCTCCTCCAGCGATCCCTATAGAGCTGTGGACAAACTTTAGAAATTAATTACACAGATTAAACGTTTTTCTCCCTCTTGGTCGTGATGTCGACATGTAGTTACTGTAAGACTGGTTTGTGCTCAAGTCCTCTTTTTTTCTGTGCAGCTCCATTTTTAAAAGTTATTAGGGGGTTTATGTTTTCTATGATTGACATTTGATACAGCCTATGGGCGTACGAAGACTGCATAGCTCACCCAGGGGATACGCTGTTTGAGCTGAGCGTCATCACAGCGACTCTCCCACCAAATGCGTACAACGCTACTGCGCAAGTGGTGGTTCCAGGAAGTGGAGAAGATACCAAGAGCAATTCGACTTCAAATTCATATAACAACGGAAGGTGGAACCAAGTTATCCATAGTATATACAGTCTATGGTCTGACCAGGAGCTTTTTAAATCTTAGCAAACAGAGATGCAGTGAAGTTTTCAGTGCATTCAAACCTTTGGATATACTTTGTGAATCAGGCTTTGTCTTGAATGGATTAAATGTGTGCAAAAGCTGTGCATTTTACCTTTGAATCAGGCCCTGAATTTAAAATGGTGGGTTAGTTTATAATAATTTCAAACACTATCTATTCAAGAAACCCTTATAGAGGAGGAACCTGTTTTTTTTTTTTCATTTAGTGGCCTGATAGGATTGGTTTGATACAAAGAACGCAGTTGGTCCATTTTTTGACAATGTTTACTTTCCTTTAACAGTTGGAAAATGAGGCTTTGTTGTGGAATAGAGAGAAGTATTTTTGTTCTTCATAGTTTGGCTGGTATTTTTTTTACCAGTTTTGAAGACACAGGTTGGAATGAAGTGTTGATTTATCTGCAGGTGTTATGATCTGTGTTGATTTAGTATCTCTGGAGAATGAAATATGAGGAAAAATTTTGGCAGGGCAAAAAAAAAGTGCAGTCAAGGTTAAAACACATTTTGCTGAAGTGTACCTGAACATCTTCTTTTGTTACCTGATAGCTGAGGATCAGCATCATCTCCAGAGGACCTAAATCCAGGTGCCTCACATGTCTTTCACAGTTATCACTGCATGAACAAATCCCTTCTGGAAGTTATTTATCACAGAGTTTCATATGTGAGCTCTGAGACCAATCAAAGGATCTGGACTCACTGACAGTGATACAATCCTTTATAAGGGTTTAGCTTACTGTAACCCAGACATGCATGTGAACCTGGGGTGAACATCCAGTCTGGACTGTATTTATGTCCTGTATGAGTTGTAATATTAAACATAAGATACTGTAGGTTGAAAAATACTCAAAAGCTTTGTCTTAGATTCTTCCCCTGGAGAGAACTTCTGTATCTGTCCCAATATTGTAGCTTTATATACTTCATAAAAGTGATCGGAAAGCCAATATGTTTCCACATGAAAGGTTGTGCACGGATTAAGCAGTCTGGACAGTCATTGCGGGTCTGTTCTATTGATTATTCTTGCATGCAGTGCTTACTCAGATCCTTTGGAAACTCAGCACTGAGTAATCCAAGGAGGCTTTCCCACGCCGAGGAAGAAGCCTGTCATTAGTTCTAGTTTGGCTCCCACAAATTATAGCATTTTAGTGTCCAGCTGATGAAGTCATCAGAGAGCTTCGTGGGCAAGAAGGAAATCCCAGTGTATGGGATATATTCTGCAGCTTTCTTATGTTATACATACCAGTACATTTGAAACAGCTGATATGTTTCAACAATGTGTAGGATGACGATGAAAGCCGCGAATATGCCAAGACAGCTGTAGATTCTGTAGCTTAAAAGCTTTTCTATACTACAGGATTCATTTTCTTTTCCCAGCTCCATCCGAAAGAATAAATCTGGACATTGTTAACTTTCTTTTTTTACCTGATTTTTGTTGTTTCTTTGTTTCCCACGTCCAATAAACAAGAGGACATAGTCTGTTGTGTGTTAAAGTGTCTGGTTTTAATTAGATGAGTCACAGATAATTATAACACAAATAATTGCAGGAAAAGTTTTATTTGAATGAAGTCAATAATAGGGCTGCAGCAGGAAGAGCAAAACTTCCCTCCTTTTCATGTGCTTGGATAAAAGACAAAGGCAGGGAGAGACGCAGCAAAGATGAGCCAAGGCGGGAAGAGCAACAGCAAAGTAGTGTTTCCTCTAGCTTTTTCACTTCGGCAGGGGGGCAACGTATGACTTAGACCGTGTCGCTACCTGATCCGTCCCAGAAACCCGATTTGTACTGCGCATGTGGGAAATGTATGTCACTTCCTCTACTACTCATCTTTGCGACAGCCCAGCAAGTCTTTGCCCCTTGCGGTTTGCGACAGCTTCGACACCTGTTCAGCAGCTTCAGCATCAGCGAGCTCGCTACAGTTAGAAAGGATACTTCAGTTTATCACCAGCCACATGCTTTTCTTTTCTCTTGAACGGAGTGCTTCCCCCTACTGAAGCAGAGCACTGGAAAGTCAAGAGAATGGTGCCCAGTTTTACGATTAAAGGTTTCTACTCCAACTGAATTGTAAAATTGGAACGTAGTTATAAAAGGCTTGAATGAATGTGAATATTTCAGTGTGGAAATTATACACTGTATAAAAACGCTGAAATTCACTGTCCATAATGTGTAGGCTCCTTGTTGATAAATTTAATTTTTAAAATAAATGAAATAAATCACCCTTGATACTCCAAAAAGTCAGAGAACCATAATTTTGGCTGGGTGGCGGCGCTCTCTGTGGCCCAAAAGGTCTCACCATGCTGGGCAGGTGCTCTGACGAATGCGTCGGCATTGGAGCCTCCTGCTAGCTAGCCTGTCACATCGCCAGCTGGTTTCTGAATCGATCGGTGTTTTAAATGACATTTTTAATGTGAAGTAAATTTGCACTTGCACAGTATGGATCGAGTAGGTAGCGACTCACTGCCGCAATATACATTGAAATGTCAAGAGAGGAAGTAACGTACATTTGCATATGCGCAGCACAGATCGGGTTTCTGGGAAAGATCGGGTAGCGACAGACGGCGCTGTTTTAGGGGCTGGGAGAGATGCTTTAGCTTCCACAAGAGAATATGCAGTGTCTGCATCACTACGTACCATCTTTTTGAAGAATGCAGAAATTTTCTGTTGGGGTGCTGAATGTTCAGGGACAGGTGCTCCATTACCAGATTTTCATTTTTATTGTTTTGTTGGTGGCAAACACAATGGAAAGGAGCTAGAACCCCGGTTGTCAAAACCATCCTGCGCAAAACTGGCAGGGTAAGAGCGGTAAGGGCTTGCGACCAGAATACCAGAATCAGTGGTGTTGACATGCCGCTACTAAGTACATTGTGAGATAGAGAGAGGAGTGAGCGAAGAGCCCCGCTCGTCGCAGAGGAGCAGAGAGATACATTTTTCTTGAAAGTGATGAAACAATTGCGAGCTTTAGAGTCTGAAATTGCACAAATTATATTTTATTGGCTGTTTTAATGAAAATAGAAGTTAAACATATATATCTATCTATGACTTCAATTTCCTTTCCATCCTGACCTTTTCAACCCATATGTTCTTTTTGTTTAATTCCAGGTTCATCAAATTGTCTCTCCACGTTACTGTAAAACATTTCTGTGATATATTTATTTTGGTTTGTTTTTCAGACCTTCACCATCAACCGAGTCAGGCCTTTAATTGAAGGCTCAAACTGAATTGTATTTCACTATATCCACGTCTAGTATGGGTGCAAGAGGCCTTCTGGGTTGCCTCCTCATCATCACTGCTTTGCTCAGCTCATCACATGCTGGGCTTGTGAAGAAAATCCTACGGCATCGACGGCAGACTCTTATGCCCACAAATGAACACAACCTCAGCCTCCCCATTTCAAACCATCCTGTGGTTTTCAATCATGTTTACAACATCAATGTCCCCGCCAGCTCTCTGTGCTCAGTAAATCTGGACTCTCCGGAGAGCACGCAACTGCTCCCCAAAGATGCCCCAGCCTCTCCGGACCATCAAGCCACTGAGCACACATTGGATGGTGAGAACCAGATCGTCTTTACCCATCGTATCAACATACCACGGCGGGCCTGTGAATGTACAGATGACCTTCCTGGCCTAAAAGACCTCATGAGCCGACTGGAGATGCTTGAAGGAGAAGTTTCAGCGCTGAGAGACCAGTGCAGTATCGATGCGGGCTGCTGCAGTGTGCAGGTCACAGGTAGGTGTAGAGTTCGTGTCATTTATGAGTATTTAGATCACAGACATCGAGGTCAAATAATCATTTATTTTCCTCAAGAGCTTCACTAAGAATCCTCCTTAAACTCAATCAGTCCTCCTCAGTATGAGGACATCTGTTCCATTCATTTGCTGAGGAGCTCTGTGGAATTTCATGTGTGGGTTTGATACTCCCAACAACTCTGTTACCTTTTGAATGGGGCTTTGTGTGGCTTAGATGACACAGTCACTGAGTATCAGTTACAGTAAGAAATCTTTTATTGTACTTGCTGACCTTTTAGGAGAGTTTACAAATAACACAACCATGAAGCAATTTGAATCTATTTCACAAATGCACTGAACTCCTTAACTTGTCCAGACATTACCGTGAGGGATAGTGTTGTATCATTCATGAACGATTTGTTCAAAAGAACCGAATCTTTTCAATAAACATACTGAACCGAATCACTTCCTCGAGTGATTCAGTTGAGCTGAAGTGAGAAACAGTATTGCCAGTCGAGCAGCTGGCAAACGAGGGACTCAAATGACCAACACCTGAATCATTTGGTGAATGAATCACACAGTGAACTACACTCTCTGGAATCATTTTTGTCAGACAAAACTACCCTTTTTTTTACTGCTAAATTGCCACCACAACAACCTGCATAGGGAACATGCAAGGGAATGGTGCATGTTCAGTTTGAATTCTTCTAAACGTTGAGTGAACGAATCACTCACTGAGCCCAATTTACCGAGCAGACCTGATAAATAGCATACCAAAGGACAGAACACTTAAAACATCATGACTTATAAACAAGTTCATTTTTACAAACCTGTTTGCCAAAACAACACAGCCAAACACTCTCGTCTCCCGGTCCCAGAAACTATGAATTGAACTGAATCCTGAAACGTTCAGCTGTGTATCAGTTCAGGAGGTCGGGGTCGCGGGCTTCTCACGTCAGGCGCTACATGATTCGGTGATTTAGTGAACGAATCTTTTGAACTAATCTTTTTTGTGTGCTGATTCTAGTGATTCAGTTCATCTAAAAGAACTGCCGTGCCCGTCACTACTGAGGGACTCCCTGTGAGAATGAAAATATCTAAACTTAAACATCCTACTGCCCTCCCTAGATTTTGTTTGGACAAGTTTTGACTCAACCAAATACTGTAAAGTAAACCAAATACTGTGAAGTGAATGTCAATGAATTCACAGTAAGCAAATGATTGACTTGGTTGAAGTGCAGTCTCTCCGTACACTTTTCTTCCATCTGTCTAATATTCCTTTCTCTTGATGGTGTTTCTGATTCATTAGGCATTATCAGGACAGATCCAGTCATTTCACAGGCCAAGTCCTCCCTTTTTCTCCTTCTGCAAGGTCTTCAGAGACAGCATCTGTTCCCTAAACCTCATTCATCATATTCAGTCGTTGGGGCTACAGTTCAAAGGAATTTCTCCTACTGTGTGCTACATGTGTTGAAAGACAGCTCTGGACAATGTCCAGATTTTATTCTCTAGATCCTGAAATTTGGAAAATAAATTAAATGTCTCTCTTGCAGTCAGATAATACAACAGAATCAACTTAATTTGTGGAAAATATTATGGCGAGCTTGGCTGTGAGGTCTGGAAGAAGAAAAGTGCATCCAATCAAAGGACGTAACCCTACCTAAAACTTTAATGTGTTATTTTAAGTCATATTACAGTCAGAACCACTTTAGTCAAAGAGCATTGATTAGTTGCATGCATTAAGTTATATTTGGCAGTATGGCTCTCCTCTAAAAGCTCCATTCCACATGCACATGTAGGATGCTAAGACTGTAGCAAGTAGAGCACTCCTCCACTTTCTTTCATGTGCATACTTTAAAAGATATGGCAGGGAGAGTAGCAGCAAAGACCCTGTTGTAGAGAGCAAAGAGTAGCTGGGAATTCGACACTAGAAAATCAGACACAGGATGGAAAAGGAGGAGCTGGTGTAGTTTTCAAAAAAGCAGGAAGAGTGGAAGGTAATCTGCTGCACTGTCAGGTAATAAAATAGTTTAACTAGGGTGACCATATTCTGAATCCCCAAAAAGAAGACACGACTATGCCGGGGCGGAGTCACAGAGTCGCGCGTAGTTAATTTTGAGAACTCTAACTCGCGAAGTCCACACGACACAAACTCAAATCTTTCATACAAAACTCTGCACATTTGAAGGATTTTATAAACTTCCCCAGACAAAGCTGGACAGCCCGCAAAAGAGAGGACATGTCCAGGTAAATGGTCACCCAAGTTAAGCTGATGTACTGCGGGCTGAGCTTGACCATGTGGTCTGTCTAAACTGACACTATGCTCTATTTTTGTTAAATGTTAAAGGTTTCTTTAAAAAGGTAAATCAATTATTCAGAAAAAAGTGCCATATCACAGCAATACAACTTAAAACTTTGAAATACATCCAGACAAAATACACTGAAACAAAACATCATTGATGGAAATTAGGCAAAGACATCTAAGTGTAAAATTATGACCTGGTAAAGATGCGTCATCTTTGCATGAGCTGTTTTAAGCTCCAGTTGTTTCTGTGGTATCTTGTTTGAGGAGCAACAAACCGTTTAGCAGGGTTGATAGTGGATCTATGTATCTTTAAATAACACACAGCCAGATGTATTTTTCCTAAGTGCAAACTGTAAATCATACTGTATTGTACTTGTATTATTCCTCATCTATCGCTCCAGAATGTTGCTCTTATGAAATCTTTTCAAGCTGATCTTAAGGCAAAAAAATCCTCCAAACTGGCGTTGATTTATTCCACAATAAGGCTCCAACATACCACAGAAATTCTTTCCACAAGACTCTGTTCTTGAGTTGTTAAACCAACAAGTCATCAACACAAAATGTCATGACTGTCTTATAACAGGTGACGTAGGAACTAGGCCTTTCTGCAACGGTCATGGAAACTACAGCACTGAGACCTGTGGCTGTGTGTGTGAGCCCGGCTGGAGCGGACCCAACTGCACCGAATCAGAGTGTCCCAACAACTGCCAGGACCGCGGCCGCTGCGTGGACGGAAAGTGTGAGTGCTTCAAAGGCTTTAGCGGAGAGGACTGCACACTGGAGGTCTGCCCTGTGGACTGTGGCGAGTATGGCCGGTGTGTGGGAGGTAAATGCCTCTGCTCTGATGGTTACTTCGGCGAAGACTGCTCTGAAACCAAGTGCCTCAACAACTGCCAAGGCCGCGGCCGCTGTGTGGATGGAGACTGTGTGTGTGATGAACCCTGGACCGGCTTTGACTGTAGTGAGCTTATCTGCCCCAAAGACTGCTACGACCGTGGACGCTGTGTGAACGGCACCTGCTACTGCGATGAAGGATTCACCGGGAAGGACTGTGGAGAACAAACCTGTCTCAACAGCTGCAGCGGAAACGGCTTCTGCGTGGATGGTCGCTGCGACTGCATCGCTGGTTATAGAGGAGACGACTGCGCCAAGCTCGCCTGCATCAACGACTGTAACGACAGGGGAACCTGCTTCAACGGGCTGTGTATCTGTGACACCGGTTACCAAGGCGAGGACTGCAGCCAGCTAGCGTGTCTGAACAACTGCAACCACAGAGGCCAGTGCATCAACGGACAGTGCTCCTGCGATGTCGGATTCCAAGGAGACGATTGTGCCGAGCTTTCTTGTCCGAGCGACTGCCTGAGCAGAGGCAGGTGTGTTAACGGCCAGTGTGTGTGCGAGGAGGGCTTCGCTGGCGAGGACTGCAGCATCAGAACCTGCCCCTCAAACTGCTACGGTCGTGGCGAATGCATCGACGGACGTTGCGAGTGTCACACAGGGTTCACAGGTGACGACTGTGCCGAGCTGAGCTGCCCTAACAACTGTCAAAACCGCGGGCGCTGCATAGACGGTCAGTGTGTCTGCGACGAAGGTTTCACCGGGGAGGACTGCAGTCAGAAAGCGTGTCTCAACGACTGCCTGGGCCGTGGTTACTGTGTCGACGGGAAGTGCGTCTGTCAGGAAGGCTATTCAGGAGATGACTGCTCGGTGCTCTCCTGTCCGAGCAACTGCAACAACAGGGGGCGCTGCGTCAATGGGAAGTGTGCATGTGAGAGTGGATATGAAGGAGAAAGCTGCTCAGAGCTGAGCTGCCTCAACAACTGCCAGGACAAAGGGCGCTGTGAGAACGGCCAGTGTGTCTGCGATGAGGGATACATCGGAGAGGACTGCTCAGAAGGTAAGACGCTCTTATAAGAAAGTCTTCACCAAGGCAGCAGCAAGAATTTCTTTTTATACTGAGATAGACAAGCAAGGGACCAAGTAAATGTTGCATTAGTCGATAAATCAGCAGCAATTAAGTATCTAACTTTTGCATATATGCTGGTCAAATGAATCTTAATCCTCATTTTAAATATATCCAAGCATATGACACACTCTGAGTCAAGGTGACCTTATAGCAAAGACCAAGATGGTGGAGCACAGGCATTGAAATGTGTTGTAAGAAAGACAGAGTGAATTCAAGGAATGGAAGAAATCAGTTTGTGTAGTTTAGTCTGATAAAGGAAGATATACGGATTCTACGGTGGCCCTTTTGTAGATTAGCTACACAAACATTTTATGACCCCAGAAATATTTTTAAAAAAGCAAAAACATGAAATATTTTACAAAACACAGGAGCATTTTGCATCATTCATCACCAAATACAGTATTTCATTCAACTTAAAAGACATTCATGATAGAGAAAAAAAATCATGAATCTATGCTAAATAGATAGTTTATTAATGTTTAATCATCATTTAAAAACAGCATGTAGACCAATTATAAATGGCAAATAGATTGTTTATTAATGTAAGTTAATAGTTACTTTACCATTAACAAGCAATAAAAATTATGATCAATCATTTTCATTAATTATTAATGGACTATTTATTAAAGGTTTATATAGTGTTTAAATATTGGTTGTAAAACATCTAGATTAAAATGTGTCAGTAGCATTTTGTAAATGGTTAATATTTGGTTTTTAAATGATCTATAAACATTACTTAGATGTTTGTTGTAAAGTTGCAACTGATGTTTGTAATACTTTGTAAATGATGAATAAGTGTTTTATAAACCACCTGTAAACATTACTTAGATGGTTATTGTAAAGTTAGGGTTAGGTTAGGGTTAGGTTTTTAAAATTGTAACATTTACAATTTATAAATGGTCTATATGCTATTTATAAATGATGATTTAACATTAATAAACTATCTGCTTTCCATTTATAAATGGTCTATTTAACATTTATAAGTTATGGTTATTGTAAAGTGTTGCCAAAAACAGAAAGAATAACATCTCACTATTTAAGAACGTATCACAGTGCTAAAAAATAGGCCATCAAAGTGAAGACTACTTTTTCTCTGTTCTCTGAATGACACACTGGCTGGACTTAGATAAGAATAGATAACTCTGTTCAGTTCACTGCAGTAACACTAAAAGAGGAACTGGCAGTTCAGGAGTCCTGAATGTTTCCATGTGTCAGCTCGATGTTCTATAAAAGCGCATACAAAGTGATGTAATTTCCTCCCATTCTCACAGTTCACTCACCAAACATCTTCTATTCTTGTGAATATAAAAAAAAGCCTTAAAGTTTGTGAATCGCCGTCGTCTGCACTATGTTCGCACATATTCTTGGCCGGTCTTCATACCGCAGCCAGATGTTTTTCTGGAGTTTGCATCAGCTCTGCATGGTGGATCGAGGGTATGAGAGAGCGTCCAACACAACGCCCACAGTTGTTTTCTTTGCTGTCTTTCCTTTCCAGTGTCTCCTCCAAAAGACCTGACCGTCAGCGAGGTCACCAGCGAAACAGTGGACCTGGCCTGGAACAATGAAATGCTGGTGACTGAGTACCTGGTGACGTTTGTGCCCACCAGACCAGGTGGTCTCCTCCAGGAGTTCACCGTATCAGGAGACAAAACCGCCGCCACTGTAAAAGAGCTTGAACCTGGACTCGAGTACCTGATCAGTGTGTACGCTGTCCTCAGCAACAAGAAGAGTGTCCCTATTAGTGCCCGGGTCGCCACAGGTACATCAGCTGTCTCTGAATTAAGAACATTACCTCCCTGAGAAGTGCTGGAAGGATTTTTACTTAAAGGGATATTCTGGCATAAAATTCATTTAGGGTCAAACACACTGTAACACTGAGTTAGACACCCCCTCGAGAGATAAAAGTTGCAGACTGCTTGCTTCTCCAGTTTTACCAACTTAAGTAACGACCGCAGGATAGCAATACATAGCAGTCTTAGGAGCCATAAACAAACCTCAACCAAAACGCCACTCTATAGCCACAAATAATGCTCAGAACAGAACCTAACTTCATCAACAGTACATATAGGGTCCCAGCCATAGTACTCGCCACCAAACATCTTTTTAGCTTTGGCTGATTTCTTCAGCAAAGAGACTGAACGCAACTCACCTACACTCTTCCAGCAGCCGCTTGTTTGTAGAGAGACCTCAGGCCAGTCCATTACGGACTGCTGCGGGGTGACGCAGCTCAAGGAAGAACATTTATGATCATTTCTTTATCATTTCCCTTGAAGTAATAATCACCATATTCATCATTTTGCACTGTAGACGCGTTAGTTCTTCTGCGTTTCAGTCTGATTGCATTTCCATGAAGTAATGTGTACTGTTGATCAAGTTAGTTGCTGTTCTGAGCATTATTTGTGACTATCGAGAAGCGTTTTGGTTGAGGTTTGTTAGTGGCTCCTCAGACTGCTGTGTATTGCTGTCCTGCAGTTGTTACTAAAGTTGGTAAAACTAGAGAAGTAAGCAGTCGGCACCTTTTATCTCTCAAGGGGGTGTCTAACTCGGAGTTACGGTGTGTTTGACCCTAAATTGATTTTACGCCAGAATATCCGTTTAATTGAACTTAATTGAATAAATAGAAGACGTAGAAAGTACAAGACAATATATGCACCTAAAACTTTGATTTCTTTGAACTTGCAGCCAGAACATCAAAGGAAAAAAGCTATCTGTGGTAATAACTTTTTTTGTTTCCATCCGTCCAGCTCTCCCACAGCCGGAGGGTCTTATATTCAAATCGGTGAGGGAGACCTCGGTGGAGGTGGTGTGGGACCAGCTGGACTTCCCCTTTGATGGCTGGGAGATCTATTTCCGCAACATGGTCAGTTTGCTGCTGCTTGAAGGCTTGCCTTGGATTTTATTAACCGACAGGGGAAAAAGTGAGAGGTGATAAGCTATGCCTGCTTATTGGAAGTCTCAGCAAAAAAACATGGATTTATTTCATCACAGACCATTAAAATTGCTTTGACGTATGGAAAACCTCATTGAGGGCAAGTTCTGGAGCTGCGGGCAAATCCACCGCCTTAAATCCACCGAGCCAGGAATTCCGTGAAAGTAAACGACTGTGCCAGCTGATAAGTTTCGCAGTTGCTGCAGAGTTTGTGTCACTTTTTTGATGTGTTGTCCTTTCTTGAACTTTTTATTAACTTTGATGATTGGCTGTGTGTGACATCAGTTCTGTCAGGATTGTGTTGTTCTGGTTATCAGTCCTCGAACACATTTTCTGTGCTGCATTAGATGACAACTCTTATGTAATGCATACTTATGTGTCATCAGAGCTCAGTTTGCTGCATGCAGCACTGCTGTAGAAGTTTTGAAACTTTACTTCTGAAGTGTCATGGTGATTAGACACTTTTTTCTTTCCTTTTTTTATGCACAGATGCAACCGTTCAAGTCCCTAAACCTGTACCTGGACTTGTATTCCTCAATGTGAAGATGAGATTGAGAATCACGTCTCCAGATATCTGTAGAGAAGCTCATCCCTGCAACATCTGTTCCCTCAGTTTCACAAAGTTATTTATGGGATAGTAAACCCTTCCTGGGTTTCAAGTGTTCAGTTGCACAGCAGAGTCCCAGGTTTTCAGTGACTCGCAGGGGTGTCTTGTCCAAACTCAGCAGACATTATCTCAACATTTTTTTACTTTCAGATAGGGCTGGGTGATATGGCCTCAAATCAATATCACGATATATTGATCAGTTCACCTCGATAATGATAAATGGACGATAACTACTCCACAAGCTGTTCACCCCCTCCCACATGAACTTCGTCTTCTTCAGCCACTTCACTTTTGAACCATCCTCCATCTCCTCACCTGTCTTTCCCTCTTTGTTACGGACTGGATGGGGTGGAGTTTATGTCTTTGATGTAGGACAGCGTCTTAAAGGGACATGTGACCATAGCCTACCTACACACATCCAAAACCAGTTCCTCATGTCTTACAATGTCATGAGGTACTTTGTTTCGGCTGCTGCTTTTGTTTGGTTGAACTCATGTTCCTTGAAATGATGATTTTGAAGATGCTTGATTGGATTGGTTGGTTAGCTTTGGACCAAAGAAGTCCAAATACATGCCTAATATACAGAGGCTGTACCTCACAGGGATGGCCTGGGTTCGATTCAAGCCTGCAGTCTCCTTCCTGCATGTCAGAAAAAAAAGAAAAGAAGAAAAAAAAAAACTTTCAGTGTATTTTAATGACACCAAATACACAACAGGTTTTACAGGGAAAAAGACAGAAAAATATAAAGAACTAAGCTCCCTGCATACCTGCTGCAGGTCTCCACTTAACGACATGTCTGTGTTGGTTGTTGTTACTCTGGCTACAAATCACAAGAGGCTGTGCCAGCTCCAACAACTGAAGCTGTAATCCAGCTTTGACTTCATATCTATAAAAGTAGATAATACAGTGCTGTTAATGTTCTCTGGACTTTTTAAGGAGTTTTGGAACAAATCTAGTCTGTAAGAAATGTTAATCTAACTTAAAGCTGGAGAAGTCAGTCTGATGACTTTCCTGAACTTGATCTCCAAACTGTTTACTCTTTGCATTGCTATATCTATTATTTGTTTTTACAGAAGGAAGAAAATGGAAAAGTGTTGAGCACCCTCCCATCAGCTCAGAACCAGTTTGTCCAGTCAGGCCTCGGACCGGGACAGGAGTATGAAGTCTCCATCAACATCATCAAGAACAACACCAGAGGACCCCAAACCTCCAAAAAAGTTACAACCAGTGAGTTTCAGCCTGTAAAAAACACTTTTTATAGAGTTAAGTGGTGGCATTACTGATGGTTAAAAGCAACCGTCTGGCACTAAATAATCATTTCAAATGGTTTGTAATTTTCCTGCTCTGCCTGAATATCGAACAATTACAGAGGAGGAAAAGTACGTTAATGTCAGAGGCAGAAATTCCATAATGAAAAGAGGAGGAACAGCAGGAAATCCCCGCCGGCTCGCCGTAGTTCCAGCGAACACATTCATGCTGTAGCGTAATCACTCAGGCTCACTGAATCTCAGTCTAGCATGACTGTGTAATAGCTTTGTTTTCACGTCCACTCAGTCTTCCTCTTAACTCTGTCTGTTGCCTGACTCTAGGTTTTATTGCAGTGTTACTCCATACATTACTTTGTGAAAGGCTTCCAGTTTCTTATGCAATCGATATAACATGCCAGGCAAAACTGCTTTCATTGTGCATGGAAAAACCATCGACTTTACAAGTCTCTGCCGTTGGATTCCCTCTGGGTCTCACACCATCTCATGTCTGAAATCATTTGTTTGTGCAGGCTAAGGTAGACCAAGGTCCTGAAATGAATGATAGGAATATAGTTATACTATGTGCAGCTTCTAGCCCCCGGAGGATGTCTAATCAAGCCTCAAATATGTGAAGAAAAGACGTTTCCTCTGTGTGTAAAACTCTGGAAATTTGTCAGGTAGTAAACACAACTTGGGAAAGAAAAGGTAAACGCATAAAGTTTCATGACAGCCATTCCTGTGCGGTTCAAGTTATGGCTTTGTCTTATGAGGGAGCCAGTTTGAGTCTTACAGTCCAGTTTTATCATTAACATGTGCGACATGTAAAGAAAGGTGGTGGGAGAGCTAATGTTTGGACTTACACCTGTGTAAGTCAGAGAAGTTTCCAGGATACTTGTCTTTTCTTGACTCATTTGGGAATTAAAAACTTTCACTGTAGGAATTAATATTAAGTCTGCCAATGATGTTGAAATATCTGAAGTAGATGTGAAGATCTTTACAGAAGTTATTGTAGTTTAGATGAAATCTGGAAACGTGCAGTTTTAAGGTAACAGCCTGCTGGTCTCTAAACAGATCATTGAATTAGTGTCAGGATTGAAGTGACAGAAACCATGTTTGGTTTAAAATGTGTTTGTTTCATATTCCATCTGTTTACATGGAGGAGGGTTATAGTTCAGCCAGTTAGCAGGGGAAGTGTGAAATGTTTTGACTCATCTTTTCATACAATCAAAGATCCAAAGGTTGATAAAAAGGTCTGGAAGCATCTCTTAACTCACTTATAACGCCATAATATAACACTGAGTTTTTTTCTCTATGGTATCAGTTGCAACATGATTGAAATAAATCCTGGATGGGTACAGTGGTTGTTATTGAGAGGTCTCCAGACAAGTAAGAGAGACGCGAGGAAGTAATTGTGGTCATATAACCGTAACCCAACTTTTATTTTATATTACAGTACCAGACGGAGAAGACATCAGGTTAATTTGAAGAAATCTCATATTAAACATTCAGTTTCTGTGCCCATGACTGAGCTGGTTATGGGAAAGGAAAGTTAAATGACCTAATGAGTTGGTCAGCAAATGATTTTTCTCTAGCATCAATCCTGAGAGGCTTCAGATGCTGATTGGAGCGATGCTTTCAATCTTAATCATATCAGTATTTCTGAATGTATTCTTGACGTACAGAGAGTGTCTACTTTTAGAGGTAGGTTTAAAAAAAGCAGATTGTTGGGAAAAAAGTGACTTACATTAATACAGTTCACCCTTGGGGGAACGTAAATACTTGAACACTGAATATTGTTGTCAGTTGTACCTCTTTTTGCTCATTCATTTCAAATATCTGACAAATTGGCAGGAAATCTGTAATAAAAGTTGCTCTCTTTTACACGATTCAGTTCGTTTTTGGTGTTTTCCAGAAGTAAAAAAGTGAAAAACTGTCCTCCTGTTTGAAAACTTCCACTGCTTTAAACCAAGTCCACAACGTGAAGTTTCTGCTCAGCCGTGAAGCTTTCTTTCTCAGAGCAATCTATTCTCACCATCCTGTTGGCTATCTGTTTATTAGTCAAGCCCATAGACTGTATATAGAATGGACGCCGTCTACCTCCTTGCTGGGTGAAGCCACTCTGAGAACAGCACCCTCTGGTGACAGGCTGCAGTATAAGTCATAAATCCTGCCTCTGCCAGCAAAGCTTATGGAGCTGTGGACAAACTTTAGAAATTAATTAAACAGAGCATACAATTTTCTCCCCCCTGCTTGTGATGTTGACATGTAGTTACAGTAAGACTGGTTTGTGCTCAAGTCCTCTTTTTTCTGTGCAGCTCCGTTTTTAAAAGTTATTAGGGGGTTCATGTTTTCTATGATTGACACCTGATACAGCCTATTGGCGTTCAGGGATTGCGTAGCTCACACGGGGGATACGCTGTTTGAGCTGGGCGTCATCACAGCGACTCTCAGCGACTCCCCCGCTGAATGCGCACAAAGCTACTGTGCAATGCTGGTTTCAGGAAATGAAGAAAAATCGCGGATATACCAAGTGCTTTTCGGCTTCAAATCCGTATAATGGCGGGAGGCGGAACCGAGCTGTCCATAGTATATACAGTCAATGGTCAAGCCCAGTCACAGGTAGGTTACCAGGTAACTAACAGACCGGTTTGCAGAGACTTGACCTGGGATATCTCTCGAAATAAACCAGGTTAATTTAAAAACTAGCTAACCTCTGTTTTCACTGTCTAGATGAAAATGTGTCTAGTCTGGTAATTTCACAGCCTACCTTCTCACCTTCCAGAGATCGACGCCCCCCGGCAGGTGGAGGTGAAGGACGTTACTGACTCCTCTGCTCTGATTGGCTGGTCTCAGCCGGTGGCTCCTGTGGACAGAGTCACTTTGTTTTATGGGCCCAGCTCCGACCCTTCAGGTGACACCAGTGTGGAAGTTCCTCCACCAGACAAGCAGTACAGCGTTGACAAACTGAAACCGGATACTGAGTACAGAGTGTCACTTATATCCAAGAGTGGGGACATCAACAGCGATCCCACCACGGTCACATTCACGACAGGTAAGCGTCACATACACGTACGCGTTTATTTCATGCGAATAACAACTGTCTTTGATTAAAGTGGTCCTGACTAAAGTGAATATGTCGCAGCCCTGGATGCCCCCAAGAACCTGCAGGTTGTTTCCCAGACAGACGACAGCATCTCTCTGGAGTGGACGAACAGTCTGGCTGATGTTGGCAGCTATCGAGTGAAATACAGTCCCATCTCTGGAGCGAGTCACGGTGAAGATCTGTTCCCACGAGGACCGGGAGACACAACAAAAGCTTCTATCACTGGTGAGGGTCAAGGAGCATAAATCAGACTTGAATATTCAATTGGTCATACGTTTGTGGTAATTCCCCATCTTTCCCTCTGTATGGCAGGGCTTAAGCCGGGGACGGAGTATGGGATTGGCGTGACTGCTGTGAAGAATGAGAGGGAGAGCCTTCCTGCGACTACGAACGCAGCAACTGGTGAGAAATGCTGCCGAACAGCTGTCCAAACAGTCGTCCTTCACACCCCTTCACAAAAAAACACAGATGGGAAAATTTGTTGATCCAAATTGAGTGATGAAATGAAACTAATGGGGAGAAAGTGATTTGCGATTTTAGCGAAGCGTGTAACAGAAGTGATGAGAGATTTAAAAATATCCCAGTGTGAAATTTACGGTCTTTTAAACGCTTATTTTTCTCTGCGGTCAGACATCGATCCCCCCACGGACTTTGAGGTAGTGGAGTCTACAGAGACCTCCCTCACCTTAAGGTGGCAGAAACCTCAGGCCAAAGTCAGCACCTACAGGCTGATGTACGTCTCAGGAGACGGGCAGGTGGAGGAGGTGGAGATCCCGGGCGCAGAGACCAGCCACGTCCTGTCCAACCTGACCCCAGGAATGAGCTACAGCTTCGCTTTGGCTGCAGAGAGGGGCCACAAGAGGAGCTCACCTGTCAGACTGTCTGCAACCACAGGTGGGTAGAGAACCGTTTTACAACATCATGATCATCAAACAGAATAAATGATACGGTATGACTCAAAAGCAGGACCTAACTCGTGTAAACATTGTTTTTAACTTCATCAGGGCTGGGGCAAGCTTTTATATTGACTTAAAGTATTCCTCCCTGATATCTTTTTAAAGTTTAATTTATAACTTAATGTATTTTCCATATTAGTTTGGCGTTATTAATAGGTGACGTAACCAGTGTTGAAATCTAAAGGATTACTTCTGCATCACTGGGATTTCATGATACTACAATAAAGAGTTAACAGCTGAAGATTAATCTCTGAAATGTTAGATATAAAATGCCCTGATGTCCTCTTCATTTGTGCCTTTTTGTTTTTCTTGTAGCCACTTTCACATTTTATTTAGCTGACTCAGACGACCGTGAGCTAACGACTCCTACAGGCGCAGAGGACAATGTCATTAGCTTTTCAAATTTAGACCCCTCTGAGTCCCAGTTCTCTGGGACGGAGCCTAAGGACGAGCATGGACTGCTGACTATTTCAGGCATCACGCCTGAAGGATTTGACCTCTCATGGAAACTGAACGCTCACACTGTCTATGATAGTTTCGCAGTAGAATATAAAGACACCCAGCCAGTATCAGACGTGAGAGAGATTCAACTTCCTGGAGATGCCACGGGCTCTAGAATTGGAGGCCTAAAGGCATCGACAGAGTATCAAATTAAACTCTATGGAATAAGCAGTAGCCAGAGATCTGCTCTACTTGAAGCTGTTGCAGCCACAGGTATAAGTTCACTTTTCAACCAAATTCTCACAGAGACAGTTCGGCTTTGTTCAGACTGCAGACTCACTTTTTTCTGGATATATCGGCATTGTATTTTGACTGATTGAAGAGAAGTTTACCAAAAGTGCAGATGGCAAGAAAACAGGTGAGCAGAATTTGCATTCATTGTGACCACGCCAAAATCAGTGAAGACAAATGCAAATCTCTCAAATTCGATTCGACTGCAGTCTGAACAAAGCCACAGACCCGTTTGCTTTACATTTTTTAATAAGTTCCCCCTTCATTAGGAATATTTCTGATGCTTAGAGGTCAATCTGTCGCTGAAATCAGAGTAGCTGTATGATTTGCATGCGTATTTTTAAGTCTTAGATTTCCAAGCAAACAGTATTTTCATTGCAGGTGTCAACTGCACTAGATAGATTCACAAGAAGATCGCTGCATGTGTACAAAACTCATCGTCATCTCATCCCATCCGTTATCCACTGAGGCTTCAGAGCGATAGAAAAAATGTTGCTTCTAAATTTTCAAACCCAAGAAGAAATCGGCAGTTTGAGCAGGAAATTAAAGGACGCCGACTGTTCCGATTTCTTCCTGCTTTTGACTTTTAAATGCAGCAGTTTTTCCTCTTTGAAAGCCTGCGCCTTCAATTTCATCCTCATCACTCATCATCCTCAGTCCCATTTACACACTGAAATTGTTCCCCGGCAGTCAAAGAAAATTACAAGACGCATCAGTCGCATGTCGAGAAAGAGTCTGTCTCCAGAACAGCAGCACCAAAATGGCTGTGCATGGCTTCATCATCAGTTTGAAGATGACTGAGTACTTCCACCTCGGTGGGCTACTCAGGAACTTCAAATATTAATGGCACTGACTCAGACGCCATTAATGCCTCAGCTGCTGCCTGAGCCGTGACTTTGGAAAAAGTTTGATTATACGACATAAGAGAAAATGTTGAAGTAGTAAGGAAATGTGTGCAAACTGACTGAAAACAACAGTGTGATCTTTTAACCAGGTGTTTCCTCCACAGGTTCATTTTCAGATATCAGGAGATCCGGTAACAAATTCATTTATTAACCTTCTTTTATTCACTGTAGCAACCGAGCCTACCTCTCCAGATGTTCTTTCACTAAGCATCAAAAATGCCTCAACAACCCCACAAACCACCCTGGAAACTCTTACCCCAGAACCCCAGACCACCAAGGCTCCTCCCACTGCACAGACTCCACCCATTTCAAACACCCCTCCCATTTCAGAGGCTCCTCCCACTTCAGATTCTGGGGCCGAGCCTGAGAGCTCAATCCTGGACTCAGTGGGAAACCTCACAGTCAATGTGACCTCCACAAGTGTGAGCCTGGCTTGGTCAGCGCCTGAGGTGTTTGATAACTTTTTGGTGGAGGTCACTGCTCAGTCGGGGGCGGCAGAGTCTAATGTGACCTCCCTGCCAGGAAGTATGAGGAGAGCTGAAATTGAAGGTTTGGCCCCCTCGACACAGTATAATATAACATTACAGGGGCTGGTGGAAGGGAGGAGATCTATACCCCTCAAAGCTTTTGCCACCACAGGTACATGGAGATTCTTTATTTTGTAGGCCTTTGTCACAAACCATCACCACATGCTGTTTTTATCATGTTTTTACTGTCCCAGGACTGCTGCATGGTTATTTTGTGTTCGTCAGATGGTTCATGTTCACTGTATAAAACAAGTCACCCTTATATATCAGCAACATCTCCAATTTTATCAAACAAATGTGATTATGATGAGAAATAAATTATTGTGAGGGCAAACTATTTCAAGAAAAAGCAACTTTCACAGAATAATGCAACTTAATGAGAAAACATTTGTCCTGTTTTGTCCATGTTAAAGTTTAAATACTTGAGTGAGAGTAATTATCAGAGAAAGTTCTAGTTTTATGAAAAAATCCAGACATTTTGAGATTACACTCTCAATTTGGAGAGAAAGTAAGAGCATCAGTGTCATAATATTTGGTGCAAAAGCTGTAATATTGCAAGATTTTGTTTCTCTCTTGCAGATAATCCTAAAATTCAGGACATTTAAGTGAAAAGTCATGACATTAAAGAAAAATGTAGTTTCAATAATAAATCATATCCTAGATATTACAACCTCTATTAAAAAATGTTGGGCATCATCTGTCAAGTTGAAGTCATTAAGAGTTAAAGATAATTAAAATAATCTGAGAGGGATCTCTAAAAATATCTAAACCTGTAAAAAAAGAACTGGACATTTTAATCTAAGAGTTTGTGAATATGAAAGTAATTTTTAAAATCCATCTTGCCATTCAGTTGACCCCACTCTGATCTGTCTATCTACCAGAGGAGCTGAAGCCCATGGTGGTGAACCTCACCATCTCTGACAAAACATGGGACGGCTTCACTGTGTCCTGGAGCCCCAGCGATGGGGAGTTTGAGAGCTTTGTGATTGAGGTAACAAACTTGGAGAATTTCATTGAGAGCCAGAACCTCACTGTGTCAGGAGACGCTCTCAGCCTGGGCATTTCTGGGCTCAATCCCAACACCAGCTACCTGGTTGGATTGTATGGGATGCATCAGGGCTCCTTCCTAGAGCCCCAGTACACTGAAGCCATCACAGGTACCTGCAATGTGCAGAGTTGCAGTCCTTTAAATCTATGACTCTCTGTCTCTTCTTTCTTATTTTATCTCATAATTTAGACACTAGATCCACCTCATTGTGGAGTGTCCACACCTCACTGCATGAAATGACAACAAAACAATAACCTGATTTATCTTTTATCACCACTCTCCATTACGTTTGTAATGAGGAACTGAACCGCTTCATCTTAACCAACATGCCATGAACCATTCTTTACCCTCCAGCCACTGTTTCTGTCTCGCTGAGAGAGGGCAGAGTGATGAAATTGCATCACTGAGCCACTCAGATGCCCCCTCAAATGTTCACCCTTACACCCCCGAACTGCACCCTTACATCCCAGTTACCAGAGTGCATGAAGCCCCCTCCCCCCTCCATACCCTCCCTTGCATCGTGGTAAGGTTTGACGCTGATGTGCTGCAATGATTGCAAAAGCAAATCCAATAACTTTCACTCACACACGCCTGTCACACCATGACAGCGTGACCATCTCATTTCATCCCATCACCCGTCATTCAGTGTGTAATCGATTAACCTTGAAGGGATCATTTGCCCGTGGATGTGTCAGTGCTGGCGTGAGTTTTAGTGACAGTTTTGATTAATGACACAATTTTGTCAATTTGGATTGTTGAGTTTCACAATTTTGATGTTTAATTTGGTTGATTCTGATTCTCCTGAAACGTTAACATAAATATACTCATTTCCCTCTGAACTGTTAGGTGGCAAATGATTAGATCCTCTTGTCATTATCAAGGTAAAGAGCTAATAACATGATCTTAGGTTGAACAGCAAACTTGAATGATGCCTAAACAGTCTGCTGCATGTTTCTATGCATCCAAAATAATCTCATTGCATGAAAAAGGAATTAAAGTTTCTCTCTGCAGCTTTCTGGGATTGCTCTGGTGCAACATTTTGCAGGATAGATCTTGTCCTCTTTGTTACCAGATGGATTGCATGATCAGAATCTACTTTTACTTGCATGAAACAGACAAATTTTTGTTAATCTCAGACATATTTCAACACTTGAAAAAACATTTTAAAAACATTCAGGTCAGAATTATTCAGCTGAGGGCTTCTTTTTAATTCTTGGCTATACATGTTATCATGAAGGAAATAGGCAGTTGGTTAAGTAATAAAACTGCTAAGTTAATACTTTTATATATGCATGTAATTAATCTTTCATTAAGATACCAGGCTGTCAAGAATTGAAAATGGGTGGTGGTGAGTTTCTAATAACACTTTACTGTTTATTATAATTAGAGCCTGACTGATAATGCAGATAATAACTGGATCTGTCATAGATATTTCCTCGAAGTACGCTATGATACAATATAATGTAGGGCTGCAGCTATCTTTCATTTTAGTAATCAAGTATTCGACTGAATATTCTATCGATTACTCGAGTAATCGGACCCAAACGGCAGACTCACATTCAGTGAGATCTCCTATGTCACAAATCCAAGCTATAACCCCAGAACCCTGCTATGAAGGCCAGACTCGGAGAGATAGAGGACGATCGTGGAACAAGTGTGAGCGTTAGCCGATTGCAGTGATCGTAAGAAAGCTAATTATGATATTAACTTTCATCATGTCCCTAAAGACATTAGTGTTCGAAAGCTGAGTAGCTCCTATGTTACCTGCCACTTCTACTTCACCAGCAATTTTGAGCTACAAGTTAGCATGAAGAGGAGTGTGCAGAGCAGCGCTCTCTCCGCCAACGACTCCGAGGCGAAGTGCTAATGATCTAGTGGAGCTCTGCAGAAGAAAAGCCCCTCTCATAATTCATTTTTTCCCTCTGCAAAACCAAAACGGTGCCTACTCCTCGTTCTATTGTGGTGACGTAAGCGCATCATGTCACCTTGAAAACAATCTGTGCGAAACAGTAACGATTTGAGCTTATAAAGGAGTACTCAAAAATTCCTCGATCACCATTTGCAATCCAGGTACTCAAGGTACTCGAGGAATCGTTTCAGCCCTACTATAATGCTGTAATGATATTTTAGCATTCCATACTATACAGTTAAATAGTGTACAGTACTCCAAATTTGTTACTCTCATACCATAAAATATGATACAATATACAATGTGTTTATAAACACATACAATACAAGAAGAAATTAAGCAATACAATATGAAATGATACAATACAATAGGATACACAAAAATACAATACATTACAGTGTGATACAATGCAATACAATATGATACAGGATAAAGTGATACACTTTTTTCCTATGGGAAATTCATCCACTGATCTGCTACTCATACTATACTTTCCTTACACCAGTACCAATAATTAAAAACACTTTTAGCTAATAAAGTCACATGCAAACAGAGACACACATAAATCAAACAGAGTAAATTGCACATCACCATATTGCACAAAATCAGACCAAATGAGAGAACGATGGATCAGGACACTATTGCACAAGCAAAAAACAATCCAGGCATGATTTAGAAATGGTGTCACAAAGTGTTTTTTTTATTTCAGCTGCATTTACTGATATCAGAAAATGAAGTAAATTTTGATTAAAACTGCAGTCTTCAGAGTTAGTTTGCATCACAGTTATTGTGTAAATTATGTGCAAAAAGATTATTCCACCGTATTGATAATGTGTGTATTTTTCCCAACAAAAACAGTTTTAATAATCCCATATCAGTCGGGCTCTAATCATCATCACAACTATAACTAGCTTGCAATTCTTGGTTCTGTCAGAAGTAACATATCAAATCCTAATAATGGTTTCTCTCTTCAGTGAATCAGCCACTGCTTGGCAAACTATTTATCTCAAACTTGACGTCAGAGAGCTTTGCAATCCTCTGGAATGGAACTGATGGAGAACTAGATGGTTTTATTCTGGAGATAATTGACTCTGATTGGCTGATGGAGCCACAGGAATATAACTTGTCCCACACTGTAAAGTCCTATGAAATCACAGGGCTCAGGCCCAGCACTGATTATATAGCCTACCTCTATGGGACATACAAGGGATCCCGAACAAGAGCTGTCAGTGCGGTTGCATCAACAGGTATTTAGATTTTTCATATTTGTCATACTAAAACAGCAGGGCTGAATATGATATTCTGATATTACTTATAGATTATCTTCAGCTCTTTAAGGTTAAAAGTGGATTTAGATTAAAATACAAATTCATGCTCCTTATTTGTGTAAACATTTGTCGTATTTTTCTCCCCCCCTTTAGCTAAAGAGCCTGATTTGTCCAGGCTAGTTGTTTCTAACATTACCTCAGACAGATTTTCTCTGTCATGGCGGACAGGAGAAAAGGCCTTTGATAACTTTATAGTAGAAGTCAGAGAGTCTGCTTTGCCCTCGCAGGCAATGGGGCGCACCCTGCCTGGAGATGTGCATTCAACAGTCATGGTTGGGCTCAAAGCGAGCACACGCTACAACGTAAAGCTTTATGCCAGCGTTGGCGGCCAGAACACACAGCCCTTGTTTGATGTAGCTACAACAGGTATCACATTACACGCATTTTTATCACATGTGCAAACCACAATTCTGATCTGCCAGCACAACCTGACTAAAAAGCCCTCTTCTTTTTTTTTGTTCAGAGGATGTCCCACTGTTGGGGCCCATAGCTGCTTTGTCCACGAGCCCACATAATCTCAGCGTGTCCTGGAGCACGGTGTCAGGCCACTTTGATGGCTTTGTTATCCGGGTCAGTGACCCAGAGCAGCAGTCTGATACGCTGGAGTTCAGACTGCCGGGCGAGGCCCGTAACTTTACCATCTCTAACCTGATGGACGCCACAGGCTATGATATTGAGCTATATGGTATATCTCATGGGCGCCATACTCCCTCTGTGTTAGCCCACACCGTCACAGGTATTATGTATTTTACTCACATCTGAAACTCTCATCTCTCGTAAATGGAAACCATGTGTGCTTTTGAATTCTTCAGAGGTCTTGTATCAAAACTTTTAATAGTCCAGAGCACCTTCCGCTCAATTTGCCAGAACAGCTCTTTTCAAAGCTTTGCACAGATTTGTTATCAGCAGATTTAAAGCTGAAACACATTATGGGTAGATTTGACATGCAGCATTAGCACCTACTGTTTTCACAACCTGGAAGTATTCCTTATTCATGGAACTCTATGAGCTCTTAGCTCGGCCTCTGCAAACCAGTTCAGCTTGGTTCAGTGTTTTTAATTTTCCCAGGGGGCAGCACTGCATCAGAAGTGCCTCTGAAAGTGAATAGACCTCCAACCAGATTGACGTATTTATGTTGTCATTAATTTAAGTATGATGATTGAAGTATTTGTAAGTAAATGTGCAGAACGTAGAGTATTAATTTGAAAGACCAAAGAACCTCAAAAATATTACATAAGGAAACATACTTTCCACTCTGGATTAGGAGCTCAGTTTTCACTTCAGTCTAATTTTAGTTTAGTTCTCTTTGTCCAAACTTTCTTGGACAGTTTTGTTACAGTTTTAAAGGAAAATATTTCTCCCGGTTTTAAGTTTTCAGTGAGAAGAAAGAACACTTTTAGTCCTCTTGGCTGAAATGAATTTCTAAATTTTTCTTCTCAGATGTCACAAGGAAAAAGTTGAGTGTCCAAAAATCATTATAAAAGTCTAATAGTCTCTATTCAGAGATCCAAATCCTGCATACACAATCAGTATTTTGGTCTATAGGTTACCTTATACCGACCAGCATGGTAAACGCTGACAGTAATGTATTAGGTGAGTTTTGTGAACATTAAGTTTAAAGAACTATCGTGTAGTAAAACATCTAATCATCTTACGACATTGTGATTTACCTGGACAGACCCTGCATGGTGCTTCTTCTCAAGTGCTGGGTTACTTGCCTCCAGAACATTTTGCCCTCGTTTGGGGTGGATGTCTCTAAAAAGCATCTCCATCAGTCATCTCAGTTTATAGTGAGGCACTTATGTTGCCACGTGTTAGCTCTGTTAGGCTGCAAACAGACTTCTTGCCTCATGCAGCAATGCCTCAAAAATTATCCAGTGACATTGAGAAGATGAATAAAGGCAGTGAGAATTTGTTTCTGGTTTTCTGCTTGAACAGAGCCTACTATTAAGTCTAGCCACAAATGTTTCTCAACGTAGACTTAGCCATAGTTTTCCTTCTCTGTTTTTTTAGGTCATTGTCTCTGTTTGGTAATGAAATATTAGCCCATCATTAAATACTTCCTGTCATTTTATTTTGTTGACAAAATTGACTCTAACTCACTCCTTTTTCGTTTTTGTATTTTTTAGTTTTAGGGTCCAGATAAAAAGCTTGGAACTGTAGCTTAGGAAGCGTATATACATAGTTGTTCGAGCAGCGTATAAATCGGTGTGATGCATGACAAATTTACCCTTTATGTGTTTTGGACTAAAATTTTCTAATAAATTCTGATCAAATGTTCTGGCCTGCAGTGATCCGAGGAAGTAAACATATTTTATGATTTGCTTTTGCAACCATTGCAGACATTATCCTCATAATAAAATCTTGTTCCCTCTCCCACATGTGTCCACCCTTAAAAAAATCAAACCCGCTTCCTCCCAGCGCCTCTGCCCAAAGTGGAAAGCGTGACCATTTCCAACATAACCCCCTACGGCTTCAGAGTGTCATGGGAGGTGAAGCAGCAGCCACAGGAGGACTTAGCCCCCTCTAGTGGTGGCTTCAGACACTTTCTCATAGTAGTGACAGACTCTGGCTGGCTGCTGGAGCCTCAGGAGTTCACTGTGCCTGGAAACCAAAATCACCTGGACATCTGGGGCCTCATCACAGGAATAGGCTATGAGGTCAGGCTGACTGGGGTGACAGAGTCAGGGCTGCTCTCTCGGCCTCTCAATACAGTGGCTGTGACAGGTACCACTCAATGCCATGCAAGCCCACCCCCCTCTTCTTAAAAGAGCAGCTCTTCAACTACTGTAAACATGATCATACTCTGAAGTGTCACCATCACAACCTGGCAGGTCCATCAAAAGTGTTACGCTTAATTATTTCTGCTTTTCATGTAATAAATTGAAATATCTTAGAATGATTTTTATCCCCTTCAGCAATCCCTTTTTAGGCCATTAAAGCCTCCAGTCCTGTTACCTGGTAACAAAAACATGATCTACCATTTCCTGGAAAACCATCAAACACCCCATCAGACACAGAAGGTCCAGAGTAGGGCTGGGCGATATGGCCTAAAATCAATATCATGATATATTGAGCAGTTCACCTCGATAACGATAAATGGACAATAACTACTCCACAAGCTGCTCACCCCCTCCCACATTAACTTGGTCTACTTCAGCCGCCGCTCCAGTCGCTACAACTTTTGAACTGTCCTCCATCTCCTCACCTGTCTTTCCCTCTTTCTCACGGACTGGATGGGGTGGAATCACTTCTCTGACGTAGGACTTTACCAATATGGGCAAAATGATGTCGGTTATTGTCCTAAATTTTGGTGTCTGTAAATTTTTGGTTTATCGCCCAGCCCTAGTCCAGAGGTGCCAAAATAGTTTTCAACTCTTGTCATCTTTTTGCTTTAAACTATAGCGAAGTTTTTGGGCTGTGAACATGGGTTGGTTCCACAACAGTTGTAAGATTTCAGAATCACATATTTTATAGTTGTACATGTTAAAGCTTTAACAGGATCATCATTCATCATAATTATTCCTGCCATGTTTTCGATCGTGATGCTTCAGGTCAGTATTGTAACTTTAACCCTAACTTGATTAATTTCCCAGAACAATCTCACTTTTCTTTAAGTTACAAGCTTTCTCGTCACTCGGAGGAAACTATGCGGAGCTCTCATGTGTTTCTTCCCACCTCCAAAATATGAGCAAGCATATTTGTTTGTTTTCATATTTTTGAAATGTGTTTTCCTTCAAATTTCTGATGACAGATTGGGATGATCATGCTATGTTTTTTCATGCTGGTTTATCAATCAATCCAGCCACAAAGTAGGAGACATTAAAAAAATATATCAGATGTAGGAAAACACTGAAAAATCAACAAGACATAGAGAGCATGACATGTCTGTTGATTTGAGCTCTAACCTTTTTCATTTCGTTTCCTTTGAATGTACTGAATGCACTGAAGCTGACCTTGGGGACGAATCTTGAAACCCCTACAGGATCTTGGTCCCTTGGTCTGGATAAACACTCAGAAAAAGCATCTTGTCTCTTTAATTAGACTCACGCCTTTGTAGTTCTTGTGTGTTTTCACTGGTTTTCACTAACCGACACCTGAGCATGGTGGATTGGAGGTAGTTGACTAAAAGACTTTCTCTCTACCACCTGGATACCTTCCCGCCTGATCGCTGACTTTCTTCAAACTGGCGTCTCTGGCCACCTCTCAGAAGTTCATAAATATTGTCAAAAAAACGCGCCCAATCCTGCAACAACATTTTGTTTCCCTTGTCTAACCAGAGGCTGAGCCAGAGGTGGACCATCTCTTTGTGTCAGACATCACAGCAGACAGTTTCCGCCTGTCCTGGACGGCTGATGACGACATTTTCGACAGATTTGTGATCAAAATAAGAGACAGCAAAAGATTAGCCCATCCTCAGGAGTACAGTGTCCGTGGAGATGAACGCACCAAGGTCCTAACTGGACTCATGGGTGGCACCGAGTATGAAATTGAGCTTTATGGTGTCACATTGGACCAGCGCTCCCAGCCTATAACTGGGGTTGCTCAGACAGGTATATAAAACTCCAGCAGAGTGTGAAGTTTTATACTAACTACTTGTTTCAGCTTTTTTGGTTTCTTGGTGTGGCGTCTGCTGTCAGAGAGCTGAACCCACAGTCCCACTAATCATCTTTATCCCTCTGGTTTAGGCTTAACTCCATGTCTGACTCTAATGGAAAATGGTCTTTGGGGAAACACAATTTCAGGACTTTAATTTGGGTCCTCTGAGTAATTTTATTGGACGTACTTGAATTGCTTTGGTTCAACATCTTTTTTTTTCTGCTTTTCTGTCTGTGCATATTTCCTTTTTTTACACTTTCTTAGGCCTGAGCACACCGAAGGGACTCACCTTCTCTGACGTGACTGATTCCTCTGCTGTGGTTCACTGGTCCATGCCTCGGTCTCCAGTAGACAACTACAGAATCACATATGTGCCATTCGAAGGAGGTAAGAGGTCAATCGGCATCTACAATTGTAGAGGGTTTTTTTCTGAAAAAAGTCTCGTGGATCTGTCAAACGAAATGCTCACTGCACTTATGGTCTGTAAGTGTGAAAATAATTTGTCTTTCCTTATTTATGTATTTATTTTATGTATCTTATGTTAAAATTAAGGTTCAAAACTGTATTTTCCTGCATATTCAACCTGCTTCCTCTGCTAACTTCCTTAAAACTCACCTCCACCTCTTCTTTTTCTGCTGTTTCTAATTATATACACGTTGTTTTTATTGTCACTGATCCTTGCTTTGTACCTTGGAGTCTTTGCTGCTGCTCTCCCTGCCTTGACGCTTTCATGTTTGCATAAGGGTAAAGGAAGGTGTCGTCTCCTGCCACCACTTAGGCTCCCTCTTTTCATGCTGTCTGGTTTTAATAGTGATATGGATTGTCACTGATGTCTGCTTGGGTTTTTTTCAGTAGGGGTCTTTGCTGCTGCTCTTCCTGCCTTTGCTTTTGATGTATACACAAGAAAGGGTGCAGAGGTGTGCGCTCCTCGCCTCCACTAGAGCTACCCCCTTTTATGCTATTTGAACTTACATGTTTTATATGTAGAGTCACTGATGCCTGCTTGGGTCTGATCCACAGGGGTCTTTGCTGCTGCTCTTCCTGCCTTCGCTTTTGATGTATATACAAGAAAGGGAGCGGAGGTGTGCTCTCCCTACCTCCACTCCACTTACAGGTGTTAAATGTATTGTGAATGATGCCTGCTCTCTTTTGTTTCCCCCTGGTCTTTGCTGCTGTTCCTACTGCATGTGAAGAGAGTGTGCTCTCCCTGCTTTTTCACATATGCTCTTGTAAGGGCAGGATGTTTTGTAGCTGTGCCACCAAATAACACTTGATGAATGTAAATATATATTTTTATATTTTTTTGACTGAAAGGGGGTCCTGACTGGACCAACATTTTTGCTGCTTGTCCCTGTTGACATCTGTGTTATTGCAAAATGGATTACGATTGTTATGCGGCTTTGACCAATCAGAATCAAGTACTTAACAAAGCCTCATGAGTAGTGAGAAAGCTGGGTAACAAACCTCCTTACCTCAGGTTTAAAGCAAAAACTGAATGTATTTAAATCATTCAGATTTAGCTATCAATCATACTGTTTTATGTTGTATTTTAATATTTTTTTCCCCTTAGAAGGATGAAAATGTCACTCCACTGATTGGTTGGTTAGCCCAACTGTATCAGGAGTTTTTAGTCATCCAGCTCCCTGGAGAGCCTTATACACTGCTGTTTTAAATTCAGGCGACAAATAAAGTCACAAAAATGTTAATCTAATTAATTCTGTTTTCTCTCTTTTATAGGAAGTCCGATGTCCATGACGGTAGATGGCAGTGTTTTCCAAGCTTTACTGCCCGACATGGTTCCCGGCAAAGTTTACCAAGTGACTGTGAGTGCAGTGAAAGGTCTGGAGGAAAGTGACCCCAGCACTGACACCGTGACCACAGGTCGGCCCTCTTCTCTCTCTATTTAAACATTTTAACCGAACACTTGTAACACCTGTGTCTGTTCTCCTCATCTGTGATAATGTCGTGTTCGGTCCTTAGAAAACTGAATTAAAACCATGACACTGTTCCTGTTTGCGTCCTCTAGGTCTGGACAAACCTCAGGGCCTGACTGTGGCTAATGTCACTGACACGTCAGCACTGCTACTATGGCAACCGTCTGTTGCCACTGTGGATGGCTACGTCATCACTTACAGGATTGATTCAGGTGAGTTTCTGTCTGCGAAATTTCATTTGATTGATTCTTAAGGCAAAATTATGTAAACTCAATTATGTGTATCACCGTCTCTTCCATTCACTGGTGTGGATTTGTTCTCCCCCTCAGTGTCCCCGATGGTGGAGCATGTTTCTGGAAACATTGTGGAGTTTGAGATGGACTCCCTGTTTCCAGCAACTCGATACACAGTCGGAGTTCATGCGATGAGAGAAACGCTGAAGAGTGAAGCAGCTGTAACTGAATTCACCACAGGTATGCTCAAATAGATTTAATCTCATGTATTTGCAGGTAAAGCTCTCGAAATAGGAGATAAATCTACACTTTGATGTTGTATTTTTCAGATGTGGACCCTCCTCGTGATCTGACGGCGATTAACATCCAAACTGACAGTGCAACTCTCACCTGGAAACCTCCACAGGCCGCTGTCACTGGTTACACACTCACCTTTACCTCCTCTGATGGAACAATACGGGTACAGTCAGATTTACATCAGCACATGTACTTGTGTTTTTTTCTTATTTGAACCTGAAAAACTTGATGGACCAAAATATGATTGGTGGTCTTTCTCAAACTATTTCAATTTTTAAGTGTGTTTTATTTCCATGTAGCTTTTGCAAAACACCTTTGCAGACATAATGAATTTGCTCTGCTGTGGTTTGTATTGATCAACACAGGGAGATTAAAAAGAAATAGAGAGCAATATAACAACTCTAAGGGCCTGTGTCCACTGACTGCGTTTTGTGTGCTGACAGCTTCAAAGCTCTTAATTTCAGAGTACTTCTTTCCAGCGCTTACTGTTGGTGGATTATGAAAGTTGAGTTGTAGCACTGAAGTTTCCCCTCGAAGTGACCATTGAAGCAGATGAACAGAGTTTTCATTTCTGTTGATTTTGGCGGCCACTATGGGCAAGAGCGTTGTATTCGCACGTATTATTGTCATAAAGACACTTGGCTCGCATGTCAGGGCTCCAGAAACTAACTTTTTTGTGAGCAGTTTGTCGTGATATGTTCGTGGTTTTATTGGAGTGCATTCTGTGTATTTCCCCTAGTGTTCTTGTTTCCCTGTAGTCTTGTGAGTTTTCAGTTTGTGTCTGACCCCGTTTCCCTCATGTTCTCAGTGTTTTATTCTTTAGATCAGATTTTTAGTACTTCCTGTTTTATTTTGTAGTGGTCCATATTTGTGTGTATCATCTTGCTTTACTTCCTCAGTTTTCCCTCCTCTGTAATTGCCTGCACCTGTGTCTCAGTGTCTCACCTGTTGCTTGTTTCCCTGTGTGTGTATATAGTCCCTGTCTTCCCCTTGTTTCTTTGTTTGTTCATTGTGGGTGCATGTCTGCCTGTTCCCTGTGATCTCTGGTATTTGAGTCCCTAGTGCCTTTAGTTGGATTTTGCTGTTTGGATTTTTTGGTTGGACATTTTAAACTAAGTTTTTGTCTGTTTTCATTTTGTTCTTTTTAAATAAATCCTTTTTTTGTCTGCATGTTGGGTCCTTTCCCTTTTGTTTCACCCTGGCTCGTGAGACAGTTTGAGGCAACTTACTTTGTAAATGTATTTAAAATGGGAAGCGAGTCTCAGTCAGCCCACCGCGGACAGTGAGACAGACATGGAACAGCAGGACTACTGAGGTTAGTGACACCGAGCTGCTCCACCTGTCTGTCTCCGGTGTGGAGGCGCTTCTCTCTCCGCGGCTGCAGCTGTAGCATGACACGGTGCTCCCGTTTTCACTACCTAGAAATAGCTTATCTTCACGCAGGTGGGCTCATTCGCTGTTGCGGTAGACAAGGAGACATGAGCAGAAACGAGAGATGTTTTGAAATCTAGATAAAAGCTCTTTATAGGATGTTAAACTCTGTATTGTATGCTTCACAGTTGCTTTTGTTCAATGAATTTTCATGATGAAAACAAAAATTGCAGTGAATAAAAATCATGACACAGCTGTAAATATCACCTTAAATAGACAAGTGTGGTTGGCTCCTCTCTTGAACAGACCTCTGCCATGTCGTTGACAAGGTTGAAATCAAAAATACAACTCCTTCTTGAGTGACCGGTTGGTAAGGGAGTAGTTCCATTGTCGAGGTTGGATGTTGTTCCAAAAGTTGAATAACTTTCAGGTGAACATACTGTGAGCACCAGAAAACCCTTGAATCTGAGAGCGATGTTGCACCAAAGATGCTAAGAACTGACAATGATCTGCATTGGTTTTGTTTGGAAATTAGATCCGCTGCTGTTGGTGGAAACAGGCCCTTAGCTACGACTGATCGATCACTTAACACTGAATTAGCAAGATATTATCTAATGGATGTGCAAAAGTCTGGAGTATGAAAAACAGGGACAGCTTAGTGTCTCTTCTAGTGGTTTACCAACAACTGTCAGCTGAACTCCAGTCCCAAAAAATGCTGTTAGTGGAAACAGGCCCTTAGCTACGATGGCTCAATCACTTTGCACTGAATAATCGAGATTTTCTAATCAGTGTGCAAAAGTTTAGAGCTTAGTCTTTTCTGGTGGTTTACCAACAACTGTAGGGAAGTTTCTGTAAAATCAGATGTTGTTTTAATTGGGAAATGGTAAAGAGTTGTGAAAAATGTGCACATGTATTTATGTTCCTGCCGTTTTTAACTGTTTTGTGTTTTTATGTATTCATTTAGGAGGTGGTGTTAAGCCCCACAGCCTCCTCTTACAGCATGGCTCAGCTGAGCGGCTCCACAGAGTACACTGTCAGACTGCAGGCCATCGCTGGCGCTCAGAGGAGTCGTCACGTTAACACTGTCTTCACCACCAGTACGGATGATTGTTTGTTTTATATTTGTGTGTGTCTCCAGCTTGTAGACTTTATGGTTCTTAAAGTTCCAGTCGTTGGTTACGCAACAGCCCAGATGCACATTTGAAAGATTTCGTCTGGCTTAAATTTCTCCCTTTTAATGTAATATTCCACCTGTGCTTATTTTTCATTCTGTCTGGGTTTTTTAAGTGGAAAAAACGTTTCTTCTTTCCACGTCTCTCAAAGATATTTTTATATAACAGCGAGGAAGATAAAGCACCTGTGTCGTCTGAGCTTTGCGAGTTGATGTCTTTTTAATGTGTGCTTCTAGTTGGACAGCTGTACAGACGGCCAAAGGACTGCGCTCAGATTTTACTGAACGGAGAGACGACCTCGGGTCTGTACACCATCTATGTGGCGGGAGAGGAGACGCAGCCCATTCAGGTTTACTGTGACATGACCACAGATGGCGGGGGATGGCTGGTGAGTAAATGAGATCACTGGAGTCCAATTAAAGGTCGTTTTGGGAATCAGAGTTATGCAACCTTTTTGAAATGCAGCAAAAAGGTGACCTCACCTGGGCTTGTTAGGATCGGTTAAAAAAACGCTGTGACACTCATGACGGTCATCCCTCTTCAGGTTTTCCTGCGGCGCCAGAATGGAAAGCTGGATTTCTACAGGAACTGGAAGAACTACACGGCTGGCTTCGGCAACATGAATAATGAGTTCTGGCTGGGTGAGAGCATCTGTCCCCTCTTCATATTCCTCCCTCTCTCTGTTACTCCTCACTAACTCACCCATATCATATTATTACAGGTCTCTCCAACCTCCATAAAATCACAAACTCTGGGCATTATGAGCTGCGAGTAGACATGAGGGATAAAGGGGAATCGGCCTACGCTCAGTACGACAAGCTGACGATCGCAGAGCCAAGGACACGTTATAAAATCTACATTGGAGCGTACAGTGGAACAGCAGGTAGGTACAACTACAAAGGATCAGTTTGACATTTTGGGAGCGACACCTGACTCTGTTTTTTGCCGGCAGATATGACAATAAAAGTGAACTTCTAGGTAAGAGTGAGTAGCCAATCAGCTTAGCACAAAGATGAGAGAAGGGGAAGCAGCAAACCTAGAATTGGTCTAAGTAAGCATTTCAAACAAACCGCTCACTAAATTATTCATTCAGATTTTACATTTAAGGTGCAAAAACAACAGTACAAGCCATGCTACAAAATTTATATGAGCCATCAATCCCCAAATGGCTGATTTTACAACTTTACCAAAGTGAATCAATCTGATAAAATATGATAAGAGCTTCGTGGTGCTCTGAGCACTGTCTTCAAAAACTTCTCCAAACTGCATTGAATGAAGTTTGAAAGATCTTGCACGTTTCTTGGGACTGACCTTATTTCTTTTCCCTCCAAACAGGTCTGTAGTTTCCTTCTGTTTCTAGTATCTTCACCTGCTGCTTCACACAAAAACATGGCAGTGATGTCAATATTTCCCAGACTCTTAAAAGCTTTAAACTTCACTTTACCCAGTGTAATTTTAACTAAAGATGCTCACGGTCACTTGTACAGACCTGTTAAAGCCGGTAATGTCTTTCCAGGTGACTCCATGACTTACCACCAGGGTCGCCCCTTCTCCACCTACGACAATGACAACGATATCGCCGTCACCAACTGCGCCTTGTCCTACAAAGGCGCCTTTTGGTATAAAAACTGCCACCGGGTCAATCTTATGGGGAAATATGGAGACAACAGTCACAGTAAGGTACGTACGAGGAGTCACATCTCTGATTGGAAAAACTCTGTTTTGTTCAGTGAAAGCTAACTCTTCCTACAGTTTTAATCACTCGTGGTTGATTGGCTTTATTCATCAGTTGCAGGGACACTTAAAAGGAAACTTCATCGGAAATTGATTCTCATTAATACTAATCCTGTGTTGCTGTTTTTCATTTGGAGCGTTATACAATGTTGAAATGTGTCTATTTTACACCAGCGTGTTAGATGTATGTGCTGATTTGTACATAAAACTAACATATACAAACATTATCAGACAGTAATTCTTTGTTGGTGGAGCTATTTTTCACTTTCTTAGGAGAAATCACTGTGATAAAACACACTTAATTGGCTTTTGTAGCCCACTAATTGCTCTTTATTCATTCTGTTTAATGAATCTTATACGCTAAAGTTAAAAATGTAAATTAAATCTAAATTCCTTCTTAGTATATATTCAATTTTAACCACATGTATTCTTTGATATTTAACAAACATTAGACTAATCCGCCTCCAGTGCTCCTCACTCTGCCTGTCTTTACCTCAACCCTGATTTCGCAGCTTTGTTGTGAGAGAGGAGTATCAGATTTTTCCAGAAAGCTGTTCCCTCTGCGTGTGAACGGTTAGATATTTGCTGTAAGACGAGACTACTCTGACGTGTTTTAGAAATCTCACCCTTTGAGCCTCTTTCCCATGACTTGCGTCTTTTCTTGGTTCTCCACAGGGAATCAACTGGTTCCACTGGAAGGGCCACGAGCACTCGATTGAGTTTGCAGAGATGAAGATGCGGCCGGCCAACTTCAGGAATTTTGAGAGCAGAAAAAAGCGATCGTAGACTCGTGAGCCCCCACTTTTAATCACACCTCAACTCCACACACATACGCACATTTCCTCTCTGTGTTTCTCCTCAAGTCATTCTATCAAATACAAACAAAGACAATCACACTGAATGAAAACATACGTCCTACCACCATACCAAAGAGAAAAAAAATAGCCATGTTTTTGTGTCGCCATCCAAGACAGTAGCAGTGATTTTCCTGAGGGTGGATAGACGCACAGTAACGTGGGTTTTAGGGACCAAACATCTGTGATGACATGAAACTCACCTGTAAAATAATTCACATGAAACCACTGAATCAGTAACATGTCAAAGGCACATAGCCAGAAGGCGTCACACCCATTACAGCAAAAAATAAAGACATTCAGTGTTGAAACTTCTCCATCTTAAATTTAGGATATCTTAACAAAACGACACATTTTAAAAAACTAAAATCAGCTCTATGAAACGTTCTCTGTATATTTACTGCACAACCAAGAGACTGATTAAACCAGATCAATATTTAAATTGTGCTTCACTTATTTTGATAAAAGGAAAACGTTAAAATGATGGTCTGCAACCTTCAGTACAAATAAAAATGTTACTTTGATAAACTTGTGTTCGAGCTGTTTTTTTTTTAAAGTAGGTCACTTACATTGTTAGTCCAGCAGGTGGCAGTGTTTACTCTCTGTAGGAATGGTGACATGTAGGCGACTGTCTACTCTTAGTAACCAAAATACTCAGACCTCCTGTTTCCTGCAGGTATTTCCTTTCTATACGTTCCCTCAACAGGTTTTAAAGAGGCTGAATTTCAAACAAAGAAGTTGAATATTTTGTTTTGAGGAGCTGAAGTCAATGCTGTAATCCTTGTTGGAAATATTGTTCATGCTGCTGCTTGTTACATTAAAGAACAAGTGTCCAAACTTAAAGCTCCTTTGAGGAGTTTTCATCTCTTTATGAGGCCTGTATATGAAGTAGAAAACTAATCAGACCATCGAAATGAGGGCTGATGTTATTTTTTACAGAGAAGATGAGATGATTAGTCAGCAGCTTGCATTAAAATGAGAATTGTGGGTCATTAAATTTCATTTAAAAAACTCATAAAACTCCAATCCTCAGCGCCACACGGTCATAAGACCCAGATTTCTGAATAGATTGCACAGATGGAGACGTGCAGGCTAGCAGACATTCGGTGCACTGCAGCCATTTTTAGTCATTAGTTAACAAGTACAGCTCGACAAGATGATCCACATACCTCACTGTAGGTGCAGGAAGCTGACTGCTCGAATAACCACAGCCTGTAACTATGAATTCTGACTAATGAAGTTCATCAACTTCTCATAAAATTACTACTTAATAACAGCATACTCCTAAATTTTAACGATATTAATGTTGTCAACTTGCAACTTTATGCTCTTATATTTTGTTTCGATTACACAAGTTCATACATTTTGTCTAGTATTTTGCACTTTATCCTTATAGTTTTGTTTCAGTTAATTTTACAACTTTGATAACAAATTCATGATTCTAGTTTAGTATTATTCACTTTATTCTTTTGGTTTTATTGTCAGTAAATTTTAAAACTTTAATCTCATAAATGTACAACTTTATTCTTGAAAATGTACCACTTTTTTATGGCTTCATTCTCAAAAGTTCAGCTCCATATTTCTGCACGTTTATGACTTTAGTCTTGTAAATTTACGCCATTCTCTTAATTGTTCAAAAATTTTTCCTTCATGATTTTATTCTAATAATTGAAACTTAACTCAAGAAATCTCTGATGTTTTTAATTCGTTATGCTGCCATCGTAACATATATAAGAGAAAATAAGCAAAAGGTTAAAAGTTATAACTTTGTCCACAAGGGGGCATTAAAGTCGACAAACTAAAAGTTCCTCACAGAAGCTTTAATTGTCTTCAAGATGATTTGATTCATCTGTGTATTTACTGCAGTTTCTCTCTGGATGTGGTGCTAGTTTAGTTATGGTTATAAATATTGTTTATATATAAGATGTGAAGTACAGGTGAAAAAGTGGCATTAAAAACAAACTTTGATAAATTCTCTGAACATGTGCTACAACTAATAACAAACAAATGAGAAAAAAACTTAAATAAAAAGGTATTTAATCTCAAAATTACATTTATTAATGATGAACTCAGCATGTTGTTATGTGAGGGACAGTAAAGGGCCAAGCAACAGCAAATACTGTCATATTCTTCCATTCAATAGTAAACCAGAAATAAATGATTAGTCATATTCTTATTGTTTTAATCTGTAAAAACCACAATAATAGGGGTTCAATATGATTCAATATGATTTTTAAAACGCTGCACAGATCTGATTTATCATGTGTGGACTAAGAAAAAGTTCTCTGGTGTTAATAAAAGGAAAAAAAAGATACATTTAGGAGAATTATTCAAACCAACCAAAAAAACCTTTGAACCTTTCACAATGACTTCATTTGTCTAAAGCAGTGGACTATTCAATAAAGTGAGTTTTACGACAGGCTGCAGAGAAACTCTCTGGCTCTTGTGTGCTGAATATTTTTGCAGCAGGGTTTCTTCTCCGTTCCAAAGTTTAGGCTTAAATCTGTGTTATCTTTCTGTTGCAACTGGAGCCCTTTGGAGCTTCATTGTGTAAACCATGCAATTCTGGTGATCGATATATTTTAACAGATGTCATCAAATCGGCGGTTTATGTAAACTGCTCCACATTTGAAGGGGAAACTGTTTGAACCCGGTGCTTTCAGGGTTTAAAGACTCGCCAACTTCTTTACGTTTCGAGAGCATTAAATGAGAATCATTTTAATTAAAGCTGACTGATCTGCATGATCTTGTTTATGTTGCAGAGGCCGGTAAGCTGTATTAAGGTCATTGCTGCATTCCAGCGTCAGATAAGTGACCTAATAATAAAACCCTTTCTTTGTAGGGTATCATTCGGCTTGATCTGCAGCTTTAGGCATTTGTTTGTTTGTTATGTGACTAACTTTGCATTTCAACCTCGCTCATCTGATCCTCCTCGAGAGCAGTCACACCAAGCTGGTCGTCTGGCCCCATCACGACCACAGCAATAGTTTCTGAGCATTCCTCCTCCAGACTGATCTCTTTGTGTCCACAGGAGCCTGACACTCTCAGCTGTTAAAGGTGAAGGATGTTGGAACATTTTTCGCGAATATGACAAAGAGGTATGCGAAGAGGAATGGCGAGACAGTAGATGTCGGCTGGCACAGAGCTGGGAGTTTTCCACTTAGAAATAACTGTGACCTGGATTTCAACCAATGCATATCTCTGACGATCACATTTCATCCTGAGACGATTCTAAATAAGGACTCAGGTCAAGAGCCAAATGCCTCTGCAATACGGCTCCATAGGGGATTCAAATAAAATCTTTCCAATAATCGTACCCTGTAAGTGTCCAGGAAAAGATTACACAATTATCTTGTGTTTGTCAAAACCAGAACCATATTTCCCATGACCCTGATTACTTCCTTTGGTCAGGAGGGGGAGCAGATAAGAGCAGATAGAGGCCTCTGACAAGAGATAGTAGCCTATGTATTCTGGGGGTTACCTTGGTGGAATCACCAAATGCAGCAGATTTACTGCAACAGTTTGTATTAAAGATTTGTTTCATTTTTGCAAACCGTGTATGTTAGCAAGTGAGCTTAAAGTAGCCGGACTAATGGAAACATGATTCTATCCAAAGGTTAAAACAATCAAGAATTCCCATTTAACCGCTTTAGTATGGCTAAAATGTAAAAAAGTATCTACTTCTATGATGATCAAAATATCTAAGAATTTGCAATCAGTTGATGGGACCGCCTCTTCTTCTGACGTGACATCTTGAAAGCATCTTTGAGGAGTTTTTTCTTAAAGTAAAGACTATGATAAACACTGACACCTTATGATGACCTTCAACGCAAACAAGACCATTCGCAACGAATTTTAGCGAATTTTAATGGCTGAAATCATTTTAAAGAGTAGGTGTCAGATCAGCTTACTGACTGCACACTGAAGGAAACAGACTGAAAATTCATATTGACGACTTTTCATGATAATTATGATTATTATTCTTTATTATTCTCAATTATGATAATGATTATTTGCTTTGGCAACAGCCGTCTTTACCATTCAAGCCAATAAAACACCTTGAACTTGAACTAGCATAAAGGGTTGGAATTCAGCTGAGCAGCTAAAGAAATACAAGCATGTGATGGATAAGATAAGACCGTTTTGTCCACAAGGGAGCGCCAAAGTTGACACAAACCATAAGTTCCTCACAGAAGCTTTAACATTTAGCAAAGTAATGAGATCTTGAAATGATGTGTGTGTAAATAAAGCACAAAGTACTTATACACGGAGAAAGCACAGATCTACTGATATCAGAGTGAGCAGAATCGGAAAACGTACGCTCATAACAGGTCAGCTGATTGCAGATACAGTTTCTGATTGGCTGATAGACCAAAACAAAGACGGCAGTCTCTGTCTAGTACAGTCAGCTAGCAGGAATATCACTTTTGCAGCAAATCATCATAGATTATGTTTGTGTAGGATCTTAATCTGACTTTTCTTGCGGCATAGAAACGTCCCTGGATGTTGCAAAAACACCCAGTTTGTCACCTGACCTCACAAAGCGGGTAGATTTTATAGGAAGTTCCTACTTCATACTGCTCTGAATTTAGAGCTGATACTGTAAACACAACATAAACAAACATACGTAACATCCTGGTTGACTCAAATAACTCAATAAACCCTCAATTTAAGATGATCCCACAGGGTATATTTAAAAGTTTCTCCTTCTTAGCTTCCAAATTTAAACAGTCTAAACATTGACTGACATGAGAATAGGGAGCATGTGCGGTTCCTGTCGCTGCAGGTCAAGTCCATGAGCCTTTGTCTTTGAGTTTTTATGTATTCACCTAGCTGCAACAATTACCCACAGGGTAAGTTTAAGCTGATGGTAAACATGACCTGCTTAACTCCGTATTAGCATTTCCCTCGAAGCAATGTTGTGCTCAAGTA